GGAGAGTTGGGAGTGGAATGCTGTCTGCAGAAAATGTTCATGCAGAACTATGTCATAGTCTGAGTATTTTATGATTTTAATACCCACGAAGGTCTTAGGAAAAAACAGAGAAGGCCTTGAGTAAAATGTGTGAAAAGCAAAGACATGGTGGCTCTTGTTTCTCATCCCTAAACTCAGGAGTTTGGGGAAAGAATATTCCCAGGAGTTGAAGACCATCCTAAACTTGTAGTGAGTTCTGGCCCAGGAGGAATATAGAGTAAATCCCTTCCTCAAAACAAATTGTAAAGGGTTTTACATAACTATTAACACTTCAGAAGGATGGGAACACCCTAAAAATATTTGTCAGCAATTGTGTCCACAGCAAGAACAACAGTAGAGGCTCATGACTTCATGGAGATGTGTAGTTTAGACTAGTGTTATAGCTAGTGATGGAGCACTAGCCCAGCATCCACAGGGCCAGGTTTCAATCCTTGAAACTCAAAGACTAAACTAAACAACAACAGCAAAAGCCCATGATCCCAGCACTGGAAAGGCTGAGGAACCTAGATCTCAGTTATGGTCAGGCTGGTATATACTTTGAGAGTATGTCTCAAAGGAAGAAGAGGAGAATGAAGACAAAAGAACATCAAATATGTGAAATAAATTCAAACTACAGGGTCATATCTGCTGTCACTCATCATGCCGTATTTCAGTAGACCTGAGAATGTAGGGAAATAATGAAAGAGGCAAACAGGAGTGGAGATGAGAGGTGACGGTGACTGCACAGGCTTCTCTATTGTTCCCTCACTCAACTAATTTTCTTTCTTTAATTAATTCTTTCTTTCTCCTTTTCTTTCTCCCTTCCTTCCTTCCTTCCTTCCTTTCCTTCCTTTCCTTCCTTTCCTTCCTTCCTTTCTTTTCTTTCTTTCTTTCTTTCTTTCTTTCTTTCTTTCTTTCTTTCTTTCTTCCTTTTCTCTCTTTGACAATTTTATGTATTTCCCATGCTGTCCTGATGTCAGTCACTATGGCTGAGGATGGACTTTGAGCTCCTGATCCTCATGCAGACAGCTGCAAAGCAGTGGGATCCTGTGATGGTTTGAATAAGAATGGCCCCAGAGGCTAATATATTTGAATACTTGGTTCTAAGTTAGCAGGACACTGTTCAGGAAAGGTTAGGAGGTGTGGCATTATTAGAGAAGGTATGGCAGGGTTGCCAGCTTTCAGGACTCAATAGATTCTGACCACCACCTCCATTCTCTCTCTGCCTCAGTTTTGTGTCAAGTTTGTGTCTCAAGTTGTGACTTCCCACTTCCTGCTCCAGCTCCATGTCTCCCTGACTGCTACCATGCTCCCCAGTGTGGTGATCATGGACTCTAACTCACTGGAACTGTGAGCCCCAAAGCACACACACTCCTTATAACTTGTCCCAATCATGTTGTTTATCACAATAGAAGAGAAAGGAAGACAGATGAGTGTGTCTGCACATCTGGTTTTGTACAGTGCTGAGGGTCCATCACAGGGCTCCATAATGCTGGCAGACACTAGGCCCAAAGAAGCCTATTCATAGCCCTACAGATTTCCAACTTATACTCAGGGAATGTTGCATCAGTATTACAGGTATTCAATACAAATCCTAAATCAAATGGGACCTCATGAGACATTCTGGTAAGGGACTCCTGGAAGGAGGGAAATGAATCAATTGATCAGATCATCACTGTGAAAGGACTAGGTCTCTTCAGCCACAGAATACATAATCTACAGAGACCATGGGGCAGCTGGCGAGCCCTCTGCAGCTCACTACACTATCTGCTGTGAGTGTGGTGAGGTGTTTCTGCATGGCTCTGCACATGACTTCTCCCCATCCTGTCCCTGCTGGGTGGGAAATCTTCCTCTGTGGCAGCTTCTCTGAACTGCAACTTCCTTCCTGTTCTCACCCTGCAAGAGTTCAGCTCCATGAGGGGGTCTGCAGCCCCATGGGGGGAGCAACAGTGCCAACTGGCCAGACTGCCCTCCCCCCACCCCCCGGAGCTCTTGGGGACTGGACCACCAACCAAAGAATATACATGGAGTGACCCATGGCTCAGTCCACCTATGTGGCAAAGGATGGCCTTGTTGCACATCAGTGGGAAGAGTGGCCCTGGCCCTAAGGGTGTTTAATGCCCTAGTGTAGTGGAATGCTAGGGGTAGAAGACCTGAGTGGGTGGCTGGGTGGGGAAGCACCCTCATCAATTCAGGGGGAGGGGAAAGGGATTGTAGGTTTCTGAAGCAGAGACCTGGAAATGTGAAAATATTTGAAATGTAAATTTAAAAAAATCTAAAAGAAAAAATTCCCTTTAAAAAGAGAGAGAGAGAGAGAGAGAAAAAGAGAGAGAGAGAGACAAAGAGAGAGAGAGTCCAGCTGCAACCTCAGAGGAACACTGCAGCTTTCTGTCCCTAGCCTTATTTTTCCTTCCCTTTGGGCCACACCTGCCATCAAGGCAACCAGCCAGGAGCTTAGGTGCAGGAGAAGCCACGGGAAAGGCTTTCTTTACATTACTGGCAAATTTCCAGATGGTCGGGGAATTTTTGGTTGATTGTATCATGAGTCTGAACAAGTGACATAACAAGTTCCCGCAGATCTGGAAAAATGTCCCAAGCTCCTGGAAGGCAGAGCTGACCCAAGGTGACTTACTCTTTATGGTGGTAAAACCCTAGCAAATGATGTGGCACCATCCCATTGGTTGGTAGTTCGGTAGTTTCTTTTTCCCCAGTTCTAACTCTCAAAGGCAACTGACTCCCTCTGGTGGTAAAACCCCAGTTAATGATGTGGTACCACCCCATTGGTTGGTAGTTCTGTAGTTTCTTTTTCCCCAGTTCTAACCCTCAAAGTCTTAACTTTCATTTCTCGTCTGGCACACCCGAGGACCAACATAGTTAGCTGAATTCTCAGGACTTAGACACTGGCTTGTGTTTGTTCCCCTCCACAGATTCTGGGTCTCTTGGTTGGAAACTGAAGGTGTGAGTTAATTTTCAACTGAACAGTTTCGAGGAATTTAGAGGAAAACACAGTCTCTTCTCTGGTGAGTTTAAGTTGAAATGGAGAAGGGGTGAGGGTTGGAGGGGAACTGCTGGCTTCCTGCTGAGTATTCTGGGGATGAGGAGCCAGAGAGAGGGTAGACTTGAGGAAGACAGTCTATGAAATATTGTGTTGGAGTTTTGGTAGGAATTGCATTGAATCTGTATATTGCTTTTGGTAAGATGGCCATTTTCACTATGTTATTCCTGTCTATTTACGAATGTGATAGATCTTTCTATCTTCTGATATCTTCTTCAGTTTGGTTCCTTAGGCACTTGATATTCTTTACATGCACATGTTTCACTGGCTTGATTAGGCTTACACTAAGATATTTTATATTATTTATGGCTATTGAAAATGGTGTTATTTCCAAAAGTTCTTTCTCACAGGCTGAGCTTCTAATTTCCTTATCATGTTATCTTGCTATCTTGACTATTCTATATGGAATATTACATATCCATCTTTACTGAGCCCATTGGCTTTTTTCATGTGTAAAGAGTCTCTTAATTGCATTCCTTCTTCTAATTTTATTTTGTCAATTTGCATTTATTCCAAGCACTTGCCCTGCTGTGATAAGTAGGGATGACAAAAAATAAGTGCGCTTATCTGATACATGATTTTAAAGAAGAGACATTCCATTGCTCTAAATTTGTTATGAGATTAGCGGTAGGCTTTTCATTTATGACTTTACAGTAGTGAAATTTATGTCTATTTTATAGACAATTTTAGAGATTTTATTACTGAAAAAATATATTTTTCAAATATTTCTCAGGCAAAGAATGGTAAGAATTTCTTTTGAGATTGGTGGTATGGTCAGTAACATAAAGTATCTCTGTAGGGGTGGGTGTACTGGAACTCACTCTATAGACAAGGAAGACCTTGGACTCATGGATCTGCTTGCCTTAAAGGTATTCACCATCACCTGGCCAACAGGAGTCTCTTGCCTTCAGTTTGTCAGTGTGGTATGGTTTGTCCATTGGTTTCTCATGCTGAACTAATATTACATGTTATTGGGACAAATGTGTGTATTTTTAAAACTAACTTTTGATGGAATCTTGATCTCAGTATCATGGTAACATACATACTGAGGGTCACACATTAATGTTTCTTGGCAAATTTCTAGACCAAGATAAAATCTTGCCATTTAAAGACAAAAGATTCCTCAGAGCCCCCAAGTATCTGGGAGCATAATTCCACATACCCTTTCTTTGGGCTACCAGTTGTGTTCTAGTAGTCACACTTTTTTCTTTGGTGACCTCTATGGGTTAGAGCAGGCACCTGTGAAGAAGACTCCACAGGATGATTTTTATACCTTTTCAGTGTATGGAAGACAAATGACGCTCTTAAGTGACCATCTCTATACACCTAGCACAGGAATTAATGTAACCATGTGATCAAACACATGGATAGTCTTTTATTAGATGACAATCAGAGAAATCATTGCATATGTGCATCGGGATGTGGGGGTGTTTACACTCTATGCCAGCATCAGCTCTTTCTGGTATGAAACTGGCAATAAGAGGGTCAGAGTGAGTCTCACTGACAAGTGCTGAGAGTAGAGGAGTGGCCAGAGGTATGAGAGGTTTGGTGCTTTAGACTCTGAAGATGGTGCCTGGGAAAGACAGGGAAGGATAGAAGGGAGGCTACACAAGGCTGTTGACAGTAAACTCTTTCTACTCTTCTGTAAAAGGAGATAACATTCCTGTACATGAAATTTGTCCTTTTGGATGACCTAAAAGTACAGTACTTGAAGTATGACAAAGCACTACTTGCTATGTCACCAAACCTCCTTCCATATTTCTTCCTTTGTTCTTTTAACTTGTCATTATAGTCTTTCCTTGGCCTCTGCACAGGGTTCATTCTGATCCTCCATATCTTATTTGCTTCTTATCCTGATCCATATTACACAGGCACCAGTGCAGTAGTGAGAAGAGTCAGGAGAGACAGACACAGGATCACAGCAACCATGGCCTCATCAGTCCTGGAGATGATAAAGGAGGAGGTGACCTGTCCTATCTGTCTGGAGCTCCTAAAGGAACCTATGAGTGCTGACTGCAACCATAGCTTCTGCCGAGCCTGCATCACACTGAACTATGAGTCCAACAGAAACACAGAAGGAGAGGGCAACTGCCCTGTGTGCCGAGTTCCTTATCCATTTGGGAATCTGAGGCCTAATCGACATGTGGCCAACATAGTAGAGAGGCTCCAGGAGTTCAAGTGCATCCCAGAGGAGGAGCAGAAGGTGAATATCTGTGTACAACATGGAGAGAAACTCCAGCTCTTCTGTAAGAAGGACATGATGGCCATCTGCTGGCTTTGTGAGCGATCTCAAGAGCACCATGGTCACCAGACAGCTCTCATTGAAGAGGTCAACCATGAATACAAGGTAAGGAGCAGAGGTATACAGGAAATAAAGCAAAAAACAGTAACAGATGGAAAACCTCCACTTTTTCTGACAGGGTACTTACCTGAGCATCATACACTCAGAACTAAATATATCACTCTATACTTTTACATTTTGACTCCTAAAAAGACATGGTGATTTATTTCACTTAAGCATAATATAATATGCCTGGGCTGCAGTTACTAAGATACAAAAAAAGAATACTTTGGAGCTTCTTCTTTAAATTGAGTTTATGTGAAAGAAACCTAAATGAGCAGAAGAACATCTGCTGATTTATTCTGTGTTTATATCCTTTCAACGTTAATGTCAGATTCATTCAAAGGACCTAACATGCTGTCTAGTGACTTGCAACAATGGGATTAATAAACATGACACATAGCAGTGAAGAGAATATGCATGTGGCAGCTGAAACATCAGGGAAGAGGGAAAGCTGTCCATAATGAGAAACAGAGCAGCAAGTTCGTGCTTGATCTTTGTTTTCTGTTGTTTGTTTCTGAGACCAAAAATAAATTCACACAGACTGTGGCTGCATGCATATGAGCTGTATCAGATGAGATGCTGGAACAGGAAAAAGTGGATGTATGACCCACCCCTAACCCAGAAGCAGTCTGTAACTGATAACTACTTGAAATAAAAAATTACTTTCATCCAAGGGAGTCATACTGGGGAAATAAACCATTCTTAAGGAAAGTCACATGCCCAGCAATAGACTGATAGCCAAAACAATTGCACAAAGCCATTTTAGGAGGTTCTTTCTCTGATAATGTTGTCAGGGCTTTTTTCCCCCCTTTTTCAGTTTATAAGCTTATAGGTTCTTTGCTTTTATATCATAGCTTCTGTTTTTATGAGATTCCCATGTGGTCAAAACATATGTTCTGTGTCTATATGTATTTCTTGTGATTCTTTATTTAGCTCCTTTTATTGAGTTTGTTTTGTCATATTCCAATGTGTTTGTTTTTTATTTCTCTTATTATATTTTCTTTTATTCTGTTATTTCTATATGTCTCTTTTTTCCTTTTTTTAAAAACTATTTATTAGTCCTTTGTGAATTGTACATCATGTACTCCAACCCCAATCATCTCTACCTCCTTTCACACCTGCCTTCATCCTTGCAATCTCCCCACTAACACTGAAGAAAAGTCATTGTGAATGTTTGGTGTGTCACACTGTGTCCTATGGTATACCCTTTAGTCCACTATTCTTTGCTTGCAAATATTCATTGCCACAAGTCATTGGTCTGTTCTGAGTCCTCTGGCTTCTGTTACATTATCAATACTAGAACCTCACTAGGACTCCTCTCAGATATCCTGCTGTTGCCCTGTGTCATGGTGATTCTGTGGTTTTGAATCTGTAGGACTGGTCCCTTCTTGGTCTCTAGCAGTACATTGATGGGGTAGACATTGCAGTAGGGCAATTCTAAGCCCTAGGTTTTGGACTGAGCAGTATCTGAGCTCTCACACACCTGCAAGTTCTCTCACACCTTTGAGGCCCACTCACCAGCAATCCCAGTAACCAGGATCAGCTCTACCCTGCTGAGGAATAGGGCCTGCTCTCCCAAGTTTTTCAGCTGGTGAGAGACATGATCAGTTCTCACCTTTTCATGTCCCTGGTGCCAGTTCTCCTAACTTCCATAGAAGACAAGGGATAAGGGGAGGAGGGTGTCTCTCCCTTGTCTGCACCACTGCCCAGCAGACAAGAGGGAGAGCCCTCCTGCATTCACACCCTTAGGTCCAGCTAACCTGTAGCCCCTACAACCAGGGCTAGCTTTACTGTGCTGCCCAATCGTTGTGCTCTCCTGAGTGCTGCAGCAGTTGAGGGGCAGGACCAGCTCTCCTGTTCTCTGTGACTCAGGGCCAGCTCTCCTGCTTGATGTACTTGTCAAGGTTTGAGGGTGGGGGTGGGCATCTCTCCATTCCCTATGCTGTCACACAGCAGACAAGTTACAAAGCCTTCTCTGCCACACTCACACCCTCAAGGCCTGCTCACTGATACCCCATCATCAGGGTCAGGTCTACTATGCTGCCCAAGTGAGGTGCAGGGCCTGATCTCCCAAGTCCTGCAGTAGATAAAGAACAGGGCCAGCTCTCCTGTTCTGAATAACTCTGGGCCAGCTCTCCTGCCTCCCAAAGATAACAAGGGGTGTATAATGGGGGTTGGAGCTGAGAGGTATCTGTACCTTGCCTGTGTCACCTCTCAGTAGTCAATTGGTAGAGCCAGCTCTCCCAGCTAACACCCTTAGGTCAGCTCACCCAGTCCCCTGCCACCAGGATGTCTACCATGCTATTCAGGAAAGGTCTACTCTCCCAAGTGCTGCAGAGAGCAGGTGCCTCATTGTTTTCTAGCAGGAGCCACAAGGCTGTGGATATTGATGGGAGGGGAGGGGAGGTGCTGAGGAACAAGGAGGAGTAATGAGAGGGAAAAACTTAATCAGAATGTATTGTATGGGGCTAGAGAAGTGACTCAGCACTTAAGAGCAAGAGCTTTTCTTGCGGAGGTCCTGAGTTCAATTCCCAGCAACCACATGATGTCTCACATCCATCTATGATAGGATCTGATGCTTCTTCTGTTATGCGGGCATACAAGCACAGAAAGCACTCATATACTTGAATAAACAAGTCTTTTTTAAAAGATGCCTTGATAAATAAATAAAAGATTAAATTAAAAAGTTGCCTTTAAATATATATTGTATGAAAAGTCTATTTTCAATGAAAGAAAGATTCTTAACTACAAAAAATGCAATTAGAAAGAAAAATAAGGAAAAGAAAGAAGAATGTTCACATGCCCAATGTTGTTGCTCAGGGTTTTATCCCATAGTCCTGGCAGCAGATGCTCATGGATCTCTGAGTTGCAGGAGTATACTTGTCTACACAGTAACTACAGGCAAGCCAAGACTGCACAACATGACCCAGGTTTTTTTTTAAATACTTCAGGTGTCAAATAATATGACATTGTAGAGCATGTGATGTATATATATACTTATGATCAGAAAGCTAACAAAAGTTTCCTGGTTCTCTGATGCTGGAAGAAAAGTAAAAGCTTTCTACTGAGTAGGATGACTGACTTAGGGAGATTTCTGTCTTTGTACAGGTGAGATGGGTATAAAATACAAAAGTCAATTGAGCCCTAGACTTTTAAGATTTATATACTTTATATGCATAAATATTGATACAAGTTTTTAAAAAGAGAACAGTCTTAGGCTTCTTGTCTTTCCAGACCTTGTCTTTCTTGGCCTTTGCTTAGGAACAGCAGTCCTAGTAATCATACAGCTTGACTCTACTACAATTCCTTTCTCACAGGAGAAGCTGCAGGCAGCTCTGCAGAAGCTGATGAAAAATGAGAAGAGATGTGATGAATGGCAGAATGACCTTCAACAGCAGAGAGCTGACTGGAAGGCAAGTGGGGACCCTTCCTAAGGGAGTCAGCCTGATACCTGGGAGGGACCTGGTCAAGAAGCTCCTGGGGTCTTAACTTCCTGAGAGTTGATGGGGCCAAGAGGCCTTGATTACTCCTCCCTACTGTTTCCCCTGGAACTGGAGATGCAGATTCTGTCTATTACAACTGAGCTGGGCTCTGTGAGGAGCTGGCACCATGGACTGTGCTTGGTCAGAATGACTGCTGGGTGCTACTCCTGTGGTGCCTTCTGAAACTCCAATTGTTGGAAATGTGCTTGGGAACAGGCCACAGTTCTATTCTCAGGGTTTAGCTTCTCTTAAAGGTTCAGAGATGGAATGAGGACAATTGCAGGCAGGAACAAATACCTTAGACAGCTGTTTAAAAACTGAGCCACATCCAGTCATTGCAATTTGGCTCATGTGGCCTTGGTAAAAGTGACCTAAGATCTTGGTTTTGGAATGTACTGAATAGACATTAAAAAGAAGACACACGCTTCCCTAAGTATCCCTTCCCTTTCCCAAGCTCAAGTCCCTGTCAGCTCTCTATCTCCTGGTCCTATTTGGACACACTGAATTCCTCTCTCTTTTCTTACCCATGAAGAACCAAATACAGAGGGATATAGAAAATGTTCAGATGGAGTTTAAAGGACTGAGAGACTTCCTGGACTCCAAGGAGAATGAGGCACTTCAGGAGCTGAATGAAGAGGAGGAGGATGTTATGGAAAAGCTGAAAGAGTCTGAAAATGAGCTCGAGCAGCAGAGACAGTGGGTGAAAGATCTCATCTCAGATGTGGAGCATCAGTTGGAGCTCTCAACCATGGAAATGCTGCAGGTGAGGCTACATGAGATCTCAGTGTCTGAGAGTCAGGGGACAGGAAGCCATTGCCCTCCCTCTCTGCTGCTGTGTTCTTCCTGGTGATAACAGGGGGATCTTTCTTTAGTCTTTGCTCAATCAGATTCCGAGGCTGGAGGAACTGTTGCATGCATGAATATCAAGAGGGAATGGCATTTTATTGTTTTCTCAGGTACAATACCAAACCTAAAGCTTGGAGAAAAGAGCTGTGCGATCATGGGTAGTTATTATTGGGGCCCAGGAGTTGAACCACAAACAACACGAACATAGATATCAATCAGACAGGGATAGTTCTTGAGCAATCATCCAAGGACTAATCAATGAAAGCCGTAAACCAGAATCTGGAACTGATCAAGATCATGAGTCTGAATTTTACAAGGCTTTTATGCCTGAAATCCACAAATATCTGTGACAAGTTATTCCACTAATCAGGATTTGGGTTTAGGGGACATCCTTAGGAGCATGTCTTTGTTATACACTTATACTGTTCTCACTGGTTGGGGTATTCAGTTGTGGCAGGGGACTTGCCTTCCCTAACATTCAGGTCTTAACTTGCCATCCAGCATGTCAGTTACCCGTGTGCATCTCTCTCTTCCAAGTAAGATGTCAGTTACCACAAAGTTATTGTGAACCTAAAACTTTACTCGACCCCCATTTAAAATGCAAGTCTTATTTCAAATGGCTTTTTATATTGGTGCAGATATCGTAGGTTGGAGTCTATCCCAGGAGCAGCTTATAAAGGCAAACCATAAAACTTATACATAAACAGGTACAGGAAGTTCTGCTAGGCAATAAAGTCTGGTCCAAGCTTATTGTGGCTAACTACACAAAGGAATTCTATCTGACTTCTGTTGTGATTGCTTCCCAAGAAAAAAAAACCAAAGCACATAACATAAAATGCACTCAACTTGGAAATGAAAAGTTTCCGTGTAATACCACATGGAAAGTTTCTTTGTGATATTAGTAACAGCATAAAATCACTGCTTAGATAGGCAGCAGTTACCTAGGCCTTAACAGTTAATACCCTTTTGTATATCTAAGCATGTGTGAAGCACGTTTTTAACTGTTGAATTAGTCACTTCATCAGAATTTGAAAATAGTAGTTACTTCCTCATCTGAAGATTTGAATCCTTTACCCCCACTGCCTCTGATTTCAGTGGGACTGGGACTTGTTATAGGGATACGATCCAGGAACTCAGAGAGGTTTCCATGCCTCTGTCTCCCAGTGGTTGATATGAAAAGTGGCTTCGTTATCTATAGAGGCATAAACTTGTAGTGTATTTGATCTCTATCACATCTTTAAATAATTTATACCAAAGTCATATTCTCATTGTAAATATTACTGTGGGAATTTGGGGGTTTTTTATTGGAATTGTCAGTCTTGTAGACCTTGGAGGTTCTAGAAATTTTTCATAACACCTTTGATTTCTTTGTTTCCATTGTGTTAATTTAATTACAACTGAAAATATTCATATTAATAGAATTATGCATTTATGCCTAAACTGAGCTAGTTCATATACATACAAACCTCAACCAACATGCTTCACAATCTTGAAACTTTATCCTTTGACTAATGAATCTGGCCATTTTTCTCTACCTCCAAGCCCTGAGGACCCCCATTCTGATTCTTATTGTTGTGAGATTAAATATGTGTACATGATACATATTTGGATAGTATCATTTAGTGTTTTTTTTTTCCAGCTGGCTTAGTATAATATAAATTCTCTGAGTTCAGACAAGTTATGAGAAAAGACAATATTTCTTGCTTTTAAACATCTAATATTTTAATATATGCTGATCATGTCATTTTTATTGGATATTTTATTTACATTTCAGATGTTATCCCCTTACTCCATTTCCCCCCTGTCCAGGGACCCTCAATCCCATCCATCCTCCTCCTGCTTTTATGAGGATGTGCTCCCACCCACCCACCCCCACTCCCACCTCCCCACCCTCAAATTCTCCCACACTTGGTGTCCAGACTTCATGGGACCAAGGATCTCCTCTCCTGTTTATGCCCGACAATGTCATCCTCCCCTACATGTACAGCTGGGGCCATGGGTCCCTCTCTATGTGCTCCCAGGCTGGTGGTTTAGACCCTGGGAGCTCTGGTTGGTTGGTATTGTTGCTCTCCTCATGGGGCCGCAAATCCTTTCAGCTCCTTCAGCTCCTTCTCTCTAACTCCTCCATTGGGAACCCCCCATGGTCAGTTCAATGGTTAGCTGTGACCATCCAACTCTGCATATGTCAGACTCTGCCAGACCTCTAAGGAGACAGCTATATAAGACTACTGTCAGCATGCACTGTTGTCAGTAAGCTGTTTTCCTTCTCTCAATGTGAGATCCTGGAGAAATTCCAGTTTCATTGGAATCATAGTTTCAACAGTTTGGTAGTCAAATTGAGAGACACACATATCTCTTTTGATCAGCTTCTTTCCTGATAGGCCAATTACAGAGTCTGAAGAAAAGCAGAGGATCAGGTAAAAGTGGGGTGATGTTAGCAGAGATCTAGTTAGTGGGTTTTAAGAATTAAACATTCTAAGCCCCTAGTCTTTTCGGATTCCTCAATATTAATATATCAAATCATGTTTAAATGATTAAAATAATTTGGAATTTGGCTTCTCATACGTATGAGTTTCCAGTGAGGTAATGGATACCTAACACATAGCATAAGAAAGATCATGTGTCTATTTGTTAAACAACATGCACATAAAAACCTATGTAAGCATTCAAACTACTGTTTCTTTATCTTTAGTCTCCAATGCCTGGTAGTATAAGACAGGAAGAGTCCATTAGTTCACATATAAGTCAAATAAAGAGCCATGAACTGTATTTATATCATGTATTGGGAAACTGTGAGTAACTGATTTGATTCTCTTTTGACTTTGTCTCTTCAGCCATTAAGAATGTAACCAGGATTTCAAGAACATAAAGAACATGTCATTAACTGTGTTTTCTTCCTTCTCCCTAGGGTGTAAATTATATCCTGAGAAGGTATGTCTGGGCTGATAGGGAAGAATAGCCATATTGTGTGGTGAGAATTATTTTATATTCAATTAGAATAAATATCTCTGGAATTTTGCTAAATTTACTACTAAATGGTATTCTGACGTTTTAGTAGGAAGGGGAGGAGAATGGCAGGGTCTGAGCATTTTGTAGCTATTGAGAAAAGATTAGATTCTGTTTTTAAGGACTGGGTTATGGAGATCTATTGAGCTAGATCCGTAGTGAGAAGAACCAATTGGACCTACAGGTGCTTTTGGACTCCTAGTGCATACATCATCTGTCCATGCTGTGGGTTTGTATCTAGCTCTGGATCTGCAGGTAATGAGTGCAGATAGGTAGCTCTGTGTCTGCAATGTTCACAAAGTTGTAAAGTGCTACTAATTCCAGAGTATTTGTGTACTTCTCCTGGCTATAGAGGAGATCCAGATTTCCTTTTTGGTTGCACTTAGATTTTTTTTAAAAAGAGACTTGACGGAACACGATTTCAACAGTGGTGACAGCATGTATCACAAGACTGTGAAGTGTCACATCACAGCTGTCAGCATTAGACTCCATCCTAAAATATGGAGCCTATGTCAGCCTAAGTGTGGTTTTCCTATCCCCTTATCCAAATTTTGTCATCTTAATGAGAGAACTTGAAAAGTAGATTCTGGCTGACAGTGTCCTCATTGACAAAAGTGTTTGAAGTCTTGGCTTTCTTTAAATGGCTTTCTCACACTTTTGACTATTATACCAGATTCTTGAAAAACTTCCTTCCTTCCTTCCTTCCTTCCTTCCTTCCTTCCTTCCTTCCTTCCT